TTCCAGATTGGCGAGGTAATGATAAATTAAATTAAATTAAAATTGTCAAAATCTCTTTACCACTAAAATGGTTGTATTTATGTAATGTGGGTTAGTGGCAAAAAATATTGGAGGAAAAGAAAATTTTATTTAGTTGGTGAGATTTTGACTCTATCAAATCATGTGTTGGTAAACAAATCGAAAAGTTGTATTGTATATATAGCACATCCGATTAATTATTACGTGGACAAGCAACTTGTCCTGTCTTTTTCTTGGTTTTGTTTTCGCATATATTATCTTAATGTGTTTTTAATGCAAATATTCAATTTATATTCTCGCAAGTGATCATAGATATTTTAGTTCGTATGCTCAATAATAAATAAACACGATGAATAAATAAAACTACAATTTATATATTGTATAATATTATTTTATTAAAGCAAAATATACTACATGTTCACACATCACAACATTAGGATCATGGGTTTGAGTCACAAGAGTCGTGATGAGGGGGGGATTGTCGTCGTACGACAAGGTTGTTTTTAAGCCTATGGTTTTGAGTCACTGAAATGATAATGTCAAATGTCATAAAATGTACATTAGTTAATTTTCAAATGACATGATTGAAACTTGATTCTAACAATTAAAATAGGATACACACACTTGGAGAGTCGAGTATGTATAAGTTTTAACTCTTTGAATTATCTTTTCAAATGAACTTCACTTACTCCGTCGATGATGCCATACTCGTGGTGTTATCGAATATGTTGTTGTCGTCTCTCATTTCAACATGGAATCGATGAAGCTTCGAGACATGTGAGAGTGCAATGCAATAATCTCTACTCGGTTGACTCATCTGAAAATTTGTACTAGAAAATTTAAATATTTTGATATGATCTTGAAGCATGTAAAATTCTACCTCTGATTGGCAATTGTCCCAACAAATAGAGGAATGAGGCAGGGTCCCATCTGAAATGAACTTCCTTTATTAACAAACGAGTAAAACATGAGCCAATACATTATTATTTCACCATGTACCAACAAGTTTGTGCAATTTCCCACTAATTGATCTAGAGTCCGCATAAAGCTTTGTTGAGTTATTTCAACGTGATATGATATGTTGTATGAATATAAACTATACTGCTCCAGGGCAGAGTCGAGCTCCGTTTTATGTAGAATTAGCTTGAAAATGATGATTGATAGCCCAATTTATTTCTTCTTTTTCCTGACTTCATATAAGTAGCTCAGGATCACCACAGCAGCAGCCACAGCAACTCCAACAGCACTTTGTGCCAGTACAGTACCATCTTTTACAATTGGTTTTGAACCGGAGGAAGGAGTAAATCCAAGTTCCGAAAGTTTCTTATGTGATTCTGCATAATCTTTAAAGAAGGCATCTTCGTCCTGCACACTCCAGCAATTCCAAATTATCAAATGAGCACAAAATGATTAACCGTCATCGAAATTAGTTCATTGAAGAAAATAGTAGTGTGCATTTGGAGCTTTAAACCATAAATTCACACCATTTATGCTGCCAAATGAATTAACCCCAAGATGCACCACCAAAGAGATTAAATCATATTCTAACCAGAGCGAAAAATCTTTGAGCTTGTTTTGCAAAACACATCCATTATATGTTCCAATGAAGAACTTTGGCATGTCTGGTATACCCAACTACTTGTACGGGACAATTTCTCCTTTTTCCTTTCAACGAATTTTAGATTCATAAAAGTAAACCAAAATGCAAAAAAAGGGGGATTTGAAAATTTTTCATTTCACCCATGAAACTGATTTGAGTCAACTAACTTGGGTTGTCACAGAATTAACTGCGAATAACAACATGACGATAATGTTGCACTAATCAAGCAGTTGAACCCCATATTACCTTAGCATACTGCTCAACATAACGTCGAAACTCAGGATCCTCCAGCAAAGCTGTATCAGTAGGTAGTTTAAGCAACCCTTCACTTTCCCCCTTAAGTAGTTCCCTGATATCAGATATAAAAGAGAGAAGCTTACAAGAACCAAAATTAAGAAAATGGAATAAAATAAGATGAATTTATCCAAAAGGCTTACACAAAGTATGAATTGTCAAATTTCAAGGGCTCTTTAGTCCAAGGGCCGTCGAAGCCTGATCTCTCAGGATGTGCCCTTCCCTGCAAACCCCACATATCAGTTTCATTTTGATTTCCCAATTTTACATTCGATAGAAATTCAAAAAAAAAATAAAAATTGTTTGGTTTTCATGAGATACTCTTTTCTGCTTTGGAATGGTCTAACAGTATTATGATGCAAGAATGCAAAGAACAGAGATTACCAGGGTATGGCCACCTGATAGTGCCACAATGTCCTTGTCAGATAAACCCATCCGATAAAATACCTCCCTCAGATGTGGCACCCCTAGCATCAAAAAACAAAAGCATTTGTAAGATCAAAACTTCAAATCATCTTTCAATGTACTGAACAAATACACAATAATTCCAAAATGCTTCAAGTGAGCAGTCTTCTTCTCAAAGTATCACAAGTATTATAATCATACAAGTTTAAAGCTAAGACATGAGTGGAGCATGAAAAAATGACCCTCGAAAAGCAATATATGCAAGCGAAAGTTGCACCAAGTCCGAAAACTGGTTTCCCCTAAAAAGTCTATATGACTTGTGATTCCGGATCCAGGAAGAATGAGAATATACACCTCTGGATGACTGAAGAGCCATTTCTCTACGACCATATTATAACCCAGAGGAAGAGGCAGGAGAATCCTGATTCTAATTTCTTTTTATGAATGTAGGAGATCCAAAAGAATGCTTTTGAAAGAATAAAAATGAAACTAAGACCACCGCAGCCCTTAACAAGAGCTGTAGTTAGGAACAGCATTGCCAGCCCTTAACAAGATCTGTAGCAAGGAATAGCCATACTTCCCATTGCAATTGCCATTGTAGCACGTGTGTGGCCCAGCCCCTAAGGGCCATGCGGACTTGACGTCATCCCCACCTTCCTCCAGTATATCACTGGCAGTCCATCGTGAGTGCGGCACGCACCTTTTTCTTTCTTTCGTTCATGTTCCCGAGTGGCAGAGAACAATCCGAACTGAGGCAATCTTTCCGGATTCGCTCCGCCTTACAGCCTTGCTTCCCATTGTAATAGCCATTGTAGCACGTGTGTGGCCCAGCCCATGAGTGCAAAGCGAACTTGACTTTTAGGGAACTTGAAGAGAAAGAAAGGGTGACTATCGACTAAATGAAAAATATGCTTTGTTGCACTACCTTAATTGAATCAAGACAAGCACTATTCCTCAGCTGAAAGAAGTTAATATCCTTGAACCTTTTGTATAGAAGAATAGGAATGCTAGAAAAGAAAATTATTATATGTCCTATGAACCAACAGAACTACTGCAACAACAGATATAGTTGTTCAATTGATTTGCAAAATTAAATCAATAGTAGACGAGATAAGAAAATTGAAATTTCAGAATTCTTAAGGAGGAAATAAAGAAAACCAAATGCTAATGCAAATATTCAGATTTAGGAATTTTCTTCTTTGATGCGGAGGACCGTGGAAGCAGGGGAGAAGAGGTGATATTTCAAGATCTTTATCTTAAAGGAGATTCACTCAAAAACCTTTTTTAGCGTCTGGAAGTCGCCCTTCCTTAGGAGAAGCACTTGAATCCTGAAAGATAGACAAGATATCTAGCGTCAACAATGTTCTTGTTGCCATTAATATAGCATGCAAATAGAAGGGAATCCAAGTGGGCTAGAAATTGATTTCAATGCACGAATAGCCAGATTTGTGGAACAAGACTAATTGATTTCTCTCTATAAGATAGATTGGCATACCTTTCTACCAGGAACAAAATTAATTGTGGGGCCCCCAGTTACCTCAACAGCAACAACACCAGCAAGCTACAGTCAAAATATGTTATTAGCATGTTAGTTTACTCTTAATTTATCCATCAATGGGCGCCTTATTCCAGGAATATGTTTGCGAAATGCAGCAAACAGAAAAAAAGGAGGTTGGAATAATACATGCATCAACCTGCTTCACGCATACATGGCACCGACTCAGCGGAAGATGGTTTATATACACATTTTGAAAGGCAAATTTTAGGTGCTAAATTTGACTGTTACTTCAAAGTTCAATATTAAGATTCTACTCAATTCACACCACAACTGATTGTAATTGATAAGGTGAATTTCCCAGAGTCGTTAAATAGAGTGAATTTAGCCCCTGTTTTGGCTCCTTTTTCCAAAAATTCATTTTCAACCACACATTCTTCCATAAATTAATTTTACGTATAAACCCAAAATTTTTCCTTATTTTTCAATTCAACTGTTTCATATCTATCACCAGATCCATAAATTCCTATCTTGTTCAATTCAACCAATGTCAATTCTCCTCCTGATCTTGACCACAATGATAATATCCAGCTTTATAGCATTCAATACTCCAGTCACCCAATTCTTTCATTATGACCGACTCTCTTATTATCAATATCATTGAAGATAATCAGCACTTGTATAGCAATTATTTTTCAAGTAAACTACACATCTAAAAAAATTAGCAACCTACATCTAATTGTCACTAGCAGCTAATATATAACATAACCAGCAGTGAATAAGTGGTTTAATAAACATATTATTTCCCTCCAAAACGTTTAAGCTTCATTTTTTTGCTTACTATCATCTCAACATGCAAACATAACTGGTGTACCAAAAGTATAACTCTCAGTAAATTAATTTCCAATCCTTGTTTAAAACCACAAAAATTATTAATAGTTAATCAAGGTCATAAGTTCAAGCTATATCCTTTAGATCAATTGTAGGATAGATGTTTGACAAAGCCAGTTCACAAATCGAAAAATATAACAATTTCGCACACATCAAATTCCATGGAATTCAAGATTTGGCATGGCTACCTGGTATAGGTCTGCATATGTGATCTTCGGACATTTAGACTTTACTTGTTCTGCAATTAGACGCCAAGCAATCCATTAGGAAGGTCTCCATTCAATATAAAATGTAAATAATTTCTTGCTAGAGAGACTGAATATGTTTGTCAATCAAATTTGAAAAAAATTGTTATAATTATTTGTTCAAGATTAAATTTGGGTCTAATGAGATGGATGAAATGTGATAAACTAGATCCAAATGAGATGAATTCGTTTTGGAATCAAAATTGGGCAATTTGAGTTTTGCCCATGCGTACACAAGCAATTCAACCATGCGTATGCATGGCTTGAGCCAGCAGAAGCAGAAGCAAAAATGCTTTTACAATGCGTACGCATGGATTATACTATGCGTACAGCGAGTCTTTAGCTGGTTTTTTCCGGTTTGATTCTAGGCGGCTTTTCATGAAGATCTCAACTTTTCATGTTAGTATGGCACTATTTCGAGCATGGGCGGATGTGGGAGGAGGATGCACTGGGCTTCAACCCAGTATAGCCTTGGCCCATATCCTATTTTGCTCTGTAATTTTTTAGCCCACTATCCCCTTTCTCTAATATTTGTCCACTTCAAGCCTAATTTCTTAAATGGACCAAATTTTAGAATTACCCCACTTCCAAATCTCTTGCTCAAAATAGTATGACTTCTTTCAAAATTTAATATGGTAAGTGAAAGACAATGAACAATCTTATTTTTGCTGCAGTAGTCCAAAGAAATAAAACTCCAATGAGATGATAGAATTATATTAATTGAT